ATTTAACAAATCGCTTCAAACATTTACAGACACCAGACTGACTTACTCCTAATATATCAGCCATATATCTTTGACTTTGGCCATCTAGATGTAAATTGACAGCGATTTCATTTTAATCAGTTTGTCATTTGTTTAAGTTTGGCAGCCATGGCTAGCAGACGACATGAATATTTTTAACTTGTAACCTCCCTTTAGTCTTATTTCCTGTTTGGATTACCACAGATATACCAGACAGCTTACCTAATATGTTTCAACTCAATTTAAAAATATCTACCAGAAAAACCGGACAGGCTACTTTTGAAATTTGACCGTCCGAGATGAGAAATAGACCGTTCGGACGGTCGTCCAGGGGAATTTTAAACGCTGCTTTTGGTCAGGCACTGTAGCTGGACTATTGCCGAGCGCGGCATTATCAACAAACAAAAAACATTACTACATTACTGGTGTGTCTTCCTTCCAGGGCATCACTGACAGCTTCTTAGGACCGAGTCTAGAGGGACCTTCGGTGTATCTACTCCGTGAGTGTTCAGACCATCAGCATTCTGCTTCCTCTCTGGTCCGGGCTCAAGACAGCAGGGCTGTATGCTCTACGCCCCCGTTACATACACCGGTCAATGAATACACACTGATGATCGTGTGTGTGTCATTGTCGTCATCAGTGGCCTTAATGCTGGCAATACCACTGTGTTCCTCATTCTGGTTGGCTGCAGCTGCAACTTCGGGGACGGGACTGGCTGGAGGGTTTTAGTCACTGGTGAGTAATAAGTGTGTCTTAGTGGGACGGAAACAACAGTACGATCATTTTAATCTTTTGCAAATCCAATTTTGATCATGTCACGTCTGTATAATTTTGGCCTTTCATATTTCTTGACATTATGTGGTACCTCACAGTATGGGAAGAAATGAGGATCTAGGACCGTTATCAAGCTCATTGGTTTGGTCGACATACACAGACCTTGGCAGGTTGCCTGATACTATCGCTGGACGGGCGGTGGTGTAACCTAGTGGTTAAAACCTATGCTCGTCACGCCGAAATCCGGGTTCAATTCTCTAAATGGGTACAATGTGTGAAGCCCATTTCTGGTGTTCCCCGCTGTGATATTGCTAGAATATTGCTAAAAGCGGCTTAAAACTAAACTCACTCACGCACTCACTACTATCGCTGGAAGAGTCCTGAACAACATTCACTCAGTCTCTTAGTAATATATATTTACGGTTACATAAACTTGTGCCGTCATTTGTGTTCTAGAATAAGTATATTGCGATATCTCTGTGCACATAGCAAGATAAGATATTACAAAGACAAATTAGAGCATAAATTCCGCCGTGTTTATGTATACATGCATACATATCATTAACGTAATATCAATCCGTATGTAATAACGTAATTCATATACCTGTATGTTCTATAATTGCAGCCACCACTGCCAAAATAGGTGATTTAAGTCGAGAGAGTGCTCTCCCATTTCACATGATGGCGCTGGCGTTATGTACCGGAAACGTCCTTGGAGCATTGGTTATCTCCCCTTTTCTCAACGACACAGTCCGCCATGGCAACATATCTATCTTACAGGACATGCACATGACATCATCCGAATGTGGAGACTCCGAGTCGAGTATAGTTTATGCATATTTGTGTTTTGCGTCATTGGGAGCAATACTCGTCATTCTTCTGACTGTGTTACGGGTATGCTTGGACAACAATATTGAGCGGGTCTTAAAAGAGAAAAACAATAAGGAATCGTTTGGGAAAGTGGAACTAATTTTTATCATCTTTATTTCATGTTTACTGCTCTTAACGGCTGCCACCCATGTCCTGTATGGGAGTTTTCTCCTCCTGTTTGGAACTCGTAGCGCTCTGAAAATATCTGAGAAGATAATGGCCCTTATGACGTCATCGTATTATGCCGTCACGATGTTTGGGCGTTTAGGTGGCGTGCTTGTGAGTCTACTAATATCACAGCTGTTGCTAATCACTGCGTGTTTAGTTGGGGTCCTAGCCACGTCTGTTTTTCTGGTATTCACTGCAGAAAGAAGCTTGGTGTTCTTGTGGGCTGGTTCTAATGTTCTCGGTCTATTCTATTCACCTCTATTCGCCTCACTGATAGCGTGGGCGGTTGAAAATGTAACAGTAAACGACACTGTTTACACCATCATCATGTTGGTTGATTATGGGGGATGTCGTTAAATTCTCTTGTGGTAGGACAACTAATGTTTGCCTTCGGACCTCAGATGCTGCATTATTCTTTTGCAGTATTGGGTGGTATACAAATAACTTTATTCCTATGTCTAATTTGCCTGGGAAAGCTCATAGGGAAACAAAAGAAGGATGGATACAGCGATCCTACTGGTACCTAATAATATGTATTCTACCATGACTTCAGTAAACACCGGATTGTGATTGGTTAATTAACGTCATTCAGGAGGTATATAATCACGTTATACAGGTCTCTGTTTTCCGTGCACAATCATACATGCACAGCAAAATAACTCGGTTTCCGCAATGCGGAAACCTGGTAGAAAAGTGGACTGAAACTTAAAGTTTCCACCTAGAATCCAGTGAGTTTCCGTTCTTTTACATTGAGTTTCCGCAATAACGGAAACTTACAATTACCCACTTTCAAAGGGTTTCCCGCAAGGTTTCCGTTACCCACCTCCAACAGGTTTCCGCAAGGTATCCGTTACCAACACTCCAAGAAGTTTCCGTTGAGTTTCAGTTAACTTTGAATCCATCAGGTTTCCGCAAGGTTTCAGTTATTAAGACTCCAACAGGTTTCCGCATAGTTTCAGTTACCAACAATCCGACATAGTTTCCGCATAGTTTCAGTTCCCAGCAATCCGACATAGTTTCCGCATAGTTTCAGTTACCAACAATCCGACAAGGTTTCCGCATAGTTTCAGTTACCGGTTTCAATTTCAGGTTCACGGGTTTTCATATGCGTTTCAAAGAGCTAAATGTAAACATTCTTCTTTATTTATATCATAAACTCTTGTTCAAAACAATATAAGCAATTTGTTATTATCATGACATTTACTAAAAGAAAAACAGAATATATAATAAGATTCATTGTTTTATTTTCTCAACATGGTATGGATTAGCATTTAAGGCAAATAAAGATCATACATATAACTAGTAATATAGCACTAAAGAACAGGGCAAAACATGTTGGCATAACTCAATCCAGTTTTAGAAATCATATATCATTTATAACAAAGTTGTAATTTTTCATCAGTTAAACTTTCATTCACTTATTATCTTGAAATAGCATGTTAGATACGAAATTTATTTCTAAAATCAGGCTAATGATGAAAAATAACAATAACATACAACTTAACACAGTGATAAAACATAGTTGCATCGGACATTTATTTGCACGCCTTGGCATTCAGCCACACACTCTAAGTCACAACTATCGCCAAACATCCACTATGATATACAATAACAACATACAGCTTACAATACAAAAATAAAATAAAAATTACATTATGAAATTGAAAATAAATTCAATTAAATTGCAAGAGCTGGTCAGTGGGCCCTGTAAGGGGCATCCCTGGGCGGAGATCCCTCTGTTACTTTGGTTGGATGCCTCATCCTCGTCCTCCTGTTGGCCTTGACGAGAGCAGTGGAGGTGTAGATTCTTTCCAAGTCCAGTGTCGTCGTGTATGCCATAAACTTGCTGGACTCACAAAGACAAAGGGACGGAATGCAACTAATTGACGTCATCTTCGTCACTCACGACTGGTGATGTCATGTCTATGGTGAGTGTTGTCGCTACCTTTTTCTATCGTCTATCTGGCCAATCAATAGATGCAAGTCTGTTTGGGCGTTGTGCAAGTTTCTGAAAATGGCAGGTTATAACGAATTACTAGGTTATTTTGATGAATTACACAAACATCAATCAACAAAGAAACTGACAATGCCAAGGATGATTTAAAATGAGTAATCCACAAGTAACTTTGAATAAAAGAGAACTAAATTGAACAATCACACTTTGCACTAGTTTTCTCAAAACTCAAATTATGCAATTCATCACACTTCATTGACCGAATGTAATATCTTATTTTCTAAAGAGGACACAGAATCTATACAAACTTTGCTCTGGAGTTACATGCTTCCCAGACCAGAGGTAGTAATATGTTATATATAATATCTGAACATTTATTGCATTTCTATGTAGTAATAATGGTACTAGTAATAGATTTTCATCAACGTTGTGGTGTCCACCTCCGTGATGTTGCTGGAATATTGCTAAAAGCGGCGTAAAACCAAACTCAGTCAGGCAGTTGTATTGTTGAAGGCACAAGTATATTCACCCAGTAGTGACTGTATGTTTACACCATTACGTCTTTTGAGGTGTATTTAGAAGTGAATAATACAAGACGCGAATGTTTCCGGATGTCAAGGTCTTTATTATGTGAAAACACAATGTTTCGGAGTGAATGCTTACACCTGACGAAGGGGTAAGCATTCACTCTGGAAACATGTTTTCACATAATAAAGTTGACATCCATAAACTCTTGTCTCTACTCTATTAATTGGAAATAATTTACTACTTATAATGAAAGTCACTACAGATAGGTCAAAATTACCTTCACACATGTTTCAGCTGACCATCCTTGGTCATTCGTTATACAGTCTGCAGACTCATCATCAGCTGAAAAAATAAACAATAACACGTTACTTTTCTTTGCATTTCTCCATTCATTCATTTGAGGTTTAACAAACCCCAAACAATTGCAGCGACATTTATACCAACAAGCAAACTACAGATTTATCACTTTAAGGTTATGCAATGAGTAAGTGAACGGCCTGACATAAACATCCCGATGAATGAAGTTCAGTTATCTCATGTGACATAACCTTGCAGTAATTACGGTATTGTAAAATCAAGGGGTCCAGGTGTAGGTGAATTCGTAACCAAAACCGGTTCGTAGACGTCAAAATCCGGTGGATTCGTAGACGGATTGAGCGGTGAATTCGTAGACGTTATTAAAATGGGAATAGTTCACCCTCAATGATGAAGAAAATCGACGAAAGGTGTTTTCATTTTTTGAAATAAATAAAATATATCAGGTAAGTATGATCGGCGGTGAAAATATCCATAAATAATAAAAAACCCAAATATGCTTCACCGTGGTCACAAATTCAGACACATCTAAGACCGCTAATATATTAAATTCAGTTGTGTAAAATTAAAAGTTGTGTACAATTAAAAGAAATGTATTAGGTAAGTATCGTCAGAGAAGTAGCAGAAAACACATCTTAGGAAAACACTTACATCTCCCACACAGAGTACTTCGCAATCAAAACAACTCACCACTTCCTAATTAACATTCACAACAACTCAGTGAAACCAGTTAATCCACATAATGGTCGGGAAATTATGATGAGTAGACTAATTTTGTCTAATCCGCCGACAAAGTTTACCTGTACACACACTTGTGGTATATAAACCTCAAGAAGGTGAGAAGAAATCATTCTGCATCAACCATGGCTCTATGCGTTGCATGTGCGAAAGAAGTGCGTCCGAGACAACATGCCATCCAGTGCGACAGCTGCGATCAGTGGCAGCATCGCCTTTGCGACACAGGGATAGATATCACAACCTACCGACAGATGACAAAAAGGGCACCTGCAGATGGACTTCTTCTGTAGCAGATGTTCACTCCCCCCGCCGTCTCCAATTTCTCCGACTCTTCCTCTGTCCCCGACCCTGCCTCTCTCTCCACCATCGTCGCCGAACCCTACATCACCTACATCGCCCGACTCATCATTCGACCTCACTTCCGCCACCATCATCGCAACAGATGATGTATTCGAGGAGTGAGTTTTATTAATTTTTATTATTAATTATTTCTATTTCATTTCACTTAGATAATTAACCATATTAATATAATTCAATTTAAATTTTAAATTTGATACTTCATCATTTTAGTTCTATTGCTGACCCGGACCCCCAACCCATGCCCGACGATCATCAGCTTCAAGCCGAATGGAATCTTCTGCCGACCGGCAGCAAACGTGGCAAACCCCTTTTAGTTGATAGCAGAGGATTTTCCTACACCATCCAGGTAATGAATAATGAAATGAGTCATACGTATTTGATTACATTGGAACGACGTTGGTATACACATGTGACTACAAAAAATGTATATACTAAAATATGTTTCTTTCTTTAACAGAAGACAAGATCGTATTGTGTGTACTGGTGGTGCTCTGTGCGGCCAAAGGAGGGTCGGTGCACTGCCGCGGTTTCACAGAGAGGTGAAACTTTCACCCGCGGAGCAGCCGACCACAACCATGAGCCGACGACAGGACTTCTTACCAAGGCCACCATCAACATGAAGGTATTTTGTCGTTTTATTTATGACGACGTTTGTATCATTCTTTATATCTGGCGATTATTACAAGTCGTCTGGCGTGACGTGTAATGGCTGCCCATACCTCTAATAATTATCATTTGGATAATAATGGTTTTCACTACATTTTAAATTATTATTAAATTAATTTAACATTTTCACATGTTTTTCTTCTGTAGATTTGCTCCCGCTTCCTCCCGAGTGGCTTTCTAAAAGCGGATGTAAAGACTGGAGGTCAGCGTCATCTGGTATTGGCAAGCGATCAACAATTAAAGACGTTAAAGACGGCCAAGACTTGGTACATCGACTCAACATTCCGTGTTGTGTCACCACCTTTTTATCAGCTGCTATCAATACATGCCTTCCTCGTCTCCGGATCGTCGATGAAACAAGTGCCCCTTCTGTTTGCATTGATGTCGCGGCGCCAGATAGAGGACTACGTGGCCGTAAGTAGTTAAATAATAGCTAATCTAATTACTGTACTCTGTTCATTGTCATCAATTAATGATGTAATTATCTGTTTAACAGGTCTTCGACGCGGTGAACGACATAATGGACAACGTAGCAGTTGAAAAAATGGTCACAGACTTTGAGGCGGCGACCTGGAGAGGCTTTAACAGAGTTTTTCCGGCCGTCCAGATCAAGGGCTGCACCTTCCATATGAATCAGGCGATTTATAGGAAAGTGCAGAACTTGGGTCTGGCTACGGCTTACGACGAGGACGTGGGAACACACAGGTGAATATTTTTTTGTTTCTTTTTACTATCTTTCAGATGATCTTGTTTAAAAAATTATCTGCATTTCTCATTTTTATAATTTGTTTTTTAGATTCATCAAAAAGCTTATGGGCTTGCAGTTCCTCGACTCAGCCCATATCGAGCCAGCATTTATGAAGGTCAAACAACAAGCTGTGACACAGAATCTGATCGCCCTCTGTGAATATTTTGAGTCGACGTGGATTCGAAGCTCTGTGTGGACCATCACAAATTGGAGCGTGTTTGGGACGGCCATCCGCACGAACAATGACCTGGAAAGCTGGCACAGGCGATTAAATCAACTCTCCGGGCGACGTTGCCTACCTTTTTACAGGCTGCTTCCCCTCCTCTTCCGAGAGGCTGACCTGCTTCCCCTGCAGATTCGCCTTGTGACAGACGGTCAGCTGGACAGAAGGCAGCATGCTGGCCAGCGTGCCAAGGCAGATAAATTTTTTAGATTATGGGACGATTTCCAGGCAACAACTATTACCGTGTCCCAGCTGCTGAGGGAGGTGTCGAAACTTAATGGGCCAATGGTCACTGAGTGACTGTGTTACTACTGTGATATGTGCTGTTTTGAACATTGTTGTTAAATATATTACATTATCACTCTTCCATAACAATGTTGTCTGTTTTTTTACATTTTACGACGCTTCATCTTTATTACACATACAGTCACATAGTAACAATATTTTCGTATCACTGAAAATAGAAAACCCGATATATAAAAATACATTTAAAACAAGTGTAGACAAGAGACGGGAAAATATTCGTTGACTCTTCATTCAGCTGTCCTTAGTTTCGTATCACTGAAAACAAAGCATACGGGAAAATATTCATTCATAATTTCCTTGAGCTGCCCTTGAGCTGCCCTTAGTTTCGTATCACTGAAAAAAAAGCATAACAACTTCGTTATAAACATTCTCAGTAACATCTAAGTACAATTCAAACTATATATTCCATTATTTATACACGTCTACGAATTCACCGTCTACGAACCGGTTTTGGTTACGAATTCACCGCGTCTACGAACTGGTTTTGTCTACGAAATCACTGTCACCCATGTGCAATCTCCTCTTTTACATTCTGTCGTAACAGAATTAGTGACCGATGGTTTAGGACAAATTCTATGAACTTCAAAGATATTAATTAATTTTTTTTTTTCAATTATCATGGGTTGTCGCTGTACATGAAAAATGTAAATACATGTTTAAGGTAATTGTGTGATGTGTAAATAATGAATAATGTGATATTAAAACTGAAGATATTTAAAATACAAATATTCGTATGTGCATTTCACAAACAATCTCAAATGGCGTTTCTAAAGCGGGAAAGTATATAAATGTCAGAAGTGAGATTTTAATCTTCCAAAACTAGCTTTTATATGAGATTGTGCTTGTTCGAGATCAAACGATATACTGGAATAAAATTGTTTCACAATGATTTGCAGACCATTATGACGTCATTGTTACCTTGACGTCACAATCAAAACATAAGAAATTTCACTCCATCTGATGCTGGTTTCAACACTGATTATATAACTGTTTCCAACCATAAAAGCAAGAAAAGATCATTTTGGATGATGAATAGAAGCTCACGTTCGAGTCATCTGATACATAATCATCAGCTCTTGTCCATAAAGTTTTAAATTCCCCATGAATCCCCGATGTTATTATCTTCTATTGAATAGTGTTGATATATTTGATATACTAGGTGCGTTTCTGTGTATTTTCCTCTTTGATTAATGACGTCACATTATTATCCACATGGTCAACGTATATGTAGTTGCATACTAATCTCGTACGTCACACGAGCGTCGTATCGCGTTGACCTGTGTCGTAACGACTTGACCTGAGATTCTAACGATTTGATTGGATAACCGATGACCTCTCAATTAGGTCACATTCTGACTAAACTATTTTTTCATTCATAACAAACACGTGAATTCATTCATTCTACAACTTAAATGCATTGTGGGAATGTAAACATTGCGAACGTTGCCGTGTCGCTGTTTAATTGTGAGTCGAACTGAGACATTATATCCGTCGAAAACCATAAACGCAATGTTTCCACCAGTGATGTTAGCCGAATGAAGCAACTGCAAACCAAGAAAGGGGGTGCTACGGAGTAGTTTACTGTAGGAGGCTGTACGAGGGGATGACAACTTACATGCATCGTGACGTCGGTTACCAAGGCAGTGACGTCATTACAGTGTGACGTCATGCAAATATTGTACTACAGTACAAAACCCTTCCGCAACCTCTTTATGAAACCGGTTTCGGTTTGAAACCAAAAAAAACCCAAAATACGCTATTTTGTCAATTAATGCATGTAAGACGTGGGTAATAAATAAAATACCACACTCTGTCTCATTACATACGAATTATACGAAACGAGTGTCCTTCCTATTTACATACGAATTATACGAAACTCGTGACCTTCCTATGTTATCTGTGACCTCGCTTTCGCTCGGTCAGATACCATAGGAAGGACACTCGTTTCGTATAATTCGTATGTAATGAGACCTCGTGTAGTATTCTCTATATATGATGTCACGGCGTATCAGTGTCGACGTCATTTTGTCCATGTATTACACGCTGTGTTGTTCTCGGATGGGAAATTCACAGACTAGTGTATGGAATTGGTTGAAATCTCACAATTGATGATTGCTTCATTACCAACGAACAATCATCGAAAAAAATTGGTTATTTTCCTATCCAGGTTGTTATTGCAGATATGTATAACATGATGCAACTTGCTACGTTAAAGTGATGACTTATATATCATGAACATAAACTTCCTGGAGTCTTAGAGAAATATTCAGTCATGACTTTTCAGATAGTGAAGTAAATTAAACACGTTTTCAGGTCCTGACATCTTCTAAGATACGTTCCATTGTCAAGTATTTCAAAGACTAAACCAGTAGTTCCAAAATCGTTTATGTTCGATTATGAGAAAATGTGATCGATTGCTTGGCCGTTTTGTCACTGCGACCAATCTTCGATTATATCAATAAATCGGAACACCACTATCACAGACACACACATAGAGTGAGTGAGTTTAGTTTTACGCCGCACTCAGCAATATCCCAGCTATATGCCAGCGGACTGTAAATAATCGAGTCTGGACCAGATAATCTAGTGATTGACAGCATGAGCATCGATCTATGCAACTGGGATACGATGACATGTGTCAAAGCCAGCGAGCCTGACCACCCGATCCCGTTAGTCGCCTCTTACGACAAGCATACGTTACTGAAGATCAATTCTAACCCGGAGAAACATTACTACGCTGATGTGTTTGTTGAACGCCGTATGTATTCTGCGAATGTTTCACCTGCACGACGTAGTTATGTAAACAATCGTGTCTGGACCAGACAATCCAGTGAGTTAAATCATGACTGTGAATCAACCAAGTCACCGAGGCTGACCTTCCGCGCGACTTAGGGTTGGGTAAGAAGTGAACAGCCAAGCAAACAAAGAATGTGGTACAGGTTTGACAGTGTGCGCGTGTTATGTTCAATACGTTCTACGTCTGTGAGCAGTGGAGGAAGAGACCTTCGATTATACAAAAATCGTCTGATTCCTGCAGACTGCACATGCAAATGATCTGTATGTAGTGTTACAGTCAATCTGCCAAACCAATCGTTTAAGCTATAAAATGAAACACACACAAAAATAAAGTGAACACTTTATTTATCCAGTTTCAACATACCGCTTTGCATTATGTGTACTTGAGACTTGAATGACACCGGTTGTTGCACAGAAGATTGTTCTTATAGCATTTGCATTTCTTGTTCCCACATCTCTTGCTACCAGCACAGTTACACTTTACCAAACCCTGGCCTCCTGATAAAGACTCGGCTCCAACAGCAGTACGAAGGGATACTGTAGTTTCAGTGTTGACCTCTGATAAAGTTAAGAGTTTCTTTTGGCACAAATCGAACTGGTTCCTCGAGAACTTGCCCTGGGGGACACCAGCAGTGCAGGCGCTTGTATACTGTCCGTTGTCACTCACAGTGGTGATCACACCCTGAATGTTTCTCGCATAACCACAACCACTGTCCACTGCTGGCATGGGAGACGACATTCAAAACAAATACCTTGCATTGACTTTGATGGATTGACTAAAACTGTTCAGGCAATCAGTCTAACTAGATCTCTATCTTTTTAGTCATTTGACCAAATGACTGAAACATTTAGTCTTTTGACCAAATGACTGATCGTTTTAGTAATTTGACCAAATGACTGAAATTGTCAGTCATTTGGTCAAATAACTGGTTTGACAGATTGACTGTAACATATACACACTTCCATTTAACACCAACAAATGTACAAATGTACGAAATACTGTCATGTATATCCGTGGTTGGCTGGTGGACTCTGCGTCAATAAACCATCAAACCTGAGACTGCTGTGAAGGTGACGACTTGGGTTTTCTGTCAGACCAAATGGTGGACTACCTCCGAAAAGAAGAATAATGACAATTATTATGGATATACAACTTCTTTAATTCTGTGGAGGCGACGTTTCGACATAGATTCTAATGTCGTTGTCAAGCACACTGCTTAGAATCTATCAGGGCTAAAACATCCTGTAAAAATCGTGGCCTTAACTCACTAAGTTGCCACTAACCATCGTTCGCATTAACCAGATTTGCCATTGTCAGATTTCCACCTCTTTCAAAACCATTACGTAAACGTGTCAGTCTGCTTAAGGGGATGTATACTACCCATCAAAAGCTTAGACTCACTTAAAGCACTCGCTATATGTTATGTATATACTAGTATATACATATGGTTACATCGAAGATGAATTTCTCAACTAACTTGGGGGAACCAACTGCAAACCTTGTGCAGATTAAATGCACGAGTATCAAGCATCAAATTGCTAGAAAAAACGTGCAGATATCGTGCATGTGAACAGCTGCGTTTTTGTGTAAAGTTGTGTTAAGAAATCGCCAATTTTCACTGAGTTTCATCATTTATTGAACTCATGACAGTAATGTTTTGAACGTTACGAATTTGTTTTACAATACATCAGTTCATGTATAAACAGTACCTTTAAACAGTATAGAATAGTCTGCAAAATCTAATTTAGAACAGTTGCCTGAGTAAGAGGCTAAATGTACACCAGTGAGTCTAAGCGTTTGATGGGTAGTATATTACAGTGCTGGGGGGAAACTTTCTACAGAAATGTGTGGACCTTGCTGAACAGCAGCTACAAGCCAAAGGCCCCAGTGCATCCATCCAGGCCAATGTTCAAGATTGCCTGTTACCAGCATGACACATTGCTTCCTGTCTTGTGAGAATTTACTGTGGAGAGTTGCCCACGTCAAGAGCCCCTGGTTGTTTGAGTGGATACCGCTTTTCATCAGACATAATTACTCATGCTATATCAGACTGGTGCTGAGTGCACAGGACTGTGAAGCCTCTTACAACCATAAACTCACTCACTCACTCAGAACACAATAACCAAACACCAGAGACATAATTCTTGTTTTCATCTTCATTTTATTTGATAATACCATATATGGTACAGATTGTAATTTTAGCATAATCAACATGTAAATCCATAACAAAATAAAGATGTATAATATGTAGTATGATATAAGTATAGCATCACACAAATTTGTGACCACAACTATGTAAATACCCTAAGCCATGACCTGAGTAATAAAACCTGATGGTATACACGTACTTGATCATTGGCTAAACACAGCCATAAGATATTCTTTATAACTAAATGATTGACTACGCATGACTAGTTGTTCATTGGATTTCATCAACTTCTGTCAAGATTATGATGGAATAAGCACTAAAACCCGTAATTACATGAAGAACTGATAAGATACATATTGTATGTTTTTTATATAGGCAGTTTGTGATAGTTACCTGAGGAATTGTATTTTTCCTAACCGTTAAGTGGGATTTCACCTAACCCTATTACAATCCAAGGTTAGTTTATCTAGCCATTTCGTACATGACATACAGGGGGTGTCACTAACTTTGTCTTTAAATTATTATTGTTATTTTATTTTTTATTTTTGGATTGGGGGCGAGTGTCACATTGTACATGCTTCTCCATAAAAATCATCCCCCACTAGCCTTTAATTATGAACTATACCCTATAAGGCACATGCGAAAGACAGTCACATCATATTTCAGACGGATCTCCCTTGTACAGAAAATCTTTATATTAGCTCAAACAAAAAGTGTTAGAAAGTCATCATGTCATGGTCCCATTTGTACACAGTATAGTTAGACTTGGTTGTAACATGTGACAGTGAAACAAGCTGACTAACTTCAAGGCTTCAACTTCATACTGTATCACAAGGTAAATCATGTATTGAGAGACAACATATACTATGATGATGATCATATGTAAAACGATCTTAAAAAGATATTGTCAAATAATATTTTCTTGAGTCTCAGCCACTGTTATTACACATACAACTGACTAAATCTCATGACAAGTACAGCCATGGTGAAAATATCCACTGTGTTTGGAGATGTGATAAACAGTTTGTATGGAAAGAGAACAGGGCCTAGATTTTCAAAGCTCTCATTGTGAGATAGTCGTGAGTGCCATACATTAACATTACACATGAACTTACGATTATCTTAGCACGAAGAGAGCTTAGAAAATATAGGCCCTGGTATTCTATTTATCACATATATTTTTCAGTGTTCTTCACGAGTTTACCCTACAAATCAAAGCATTATTGCAGCAGACTCAAAGTTATTTTGACATCCTTGCAATCTCATCAACTGATGTCCCAGTGCTCACTACTACTACAACATGAATTTCTATTTGAAATTGTCATTTAATTTTATTTCACAACATATTCAGAAAAATGCACTTATTGACCTCTGAACACAATATAAAGCATCTTAAATAGAGACAGATGGCAAGGGTAGATATCACGCCAGGTTATTGAAACAGTGCTTTTTCTAAAATAGAAAAAAAACAGCATAATGCATCTGTCATGTTTAAATATATCAATAATATCATCAGTGAATCCTGATACCCTAAATGGAAATGGCTTCACAAAATGGCTACACCATGTGGATGGTATCTGATCAACAGATTTCTTGGCTGGATATGTTGTGTTGGTAAATAAACTGAAGCTAACTAAGTGTATGTTGTAAAACACCCAAAAGTATACAGGCAAAAACATTTCTTAAACAAATCAATGATAAACTTATTCAACAAATATTCAAACCTGTGTAAGAAATTAACTGAGCTAAAACAGGTTTTCTCATTAGAACATATCCGAGTGCTCTCTGCCTTCTTAAACTTTAACCAACCATTGAAATGACAAATAAGAAGTCTGCACTAAAGATCAGAAAGTAGCCACCTACATTTGATGGCACTTTTCAAACTGGTGATTTCCAATCCCGACTATACTTTGAAAAATATAACAAACTCTTTGATTCATAATTTGAAAACTGAGCTGAACATTGTGTAATGTCTAATAGATGACAATGGCTTTATGTCAGCACTTCCCATGAGCTATGAAAATTCTCTTTCATTTCAAATGTATATCCCATTTATCACAAGTGAAAGATAGACAATGACTTGAACAGAATCAGTTGTACAACATAACTGTCTTTTTGAATACCCAGTGTTAACCCTTTTTGAGGTTATATTAATATGAAACACATACCAACGGTCTCCTTCCCAACCTAGTAAACACCCTGCTTCACTGGAGGCCTAGGGAATGGTGTTATGACATGACACATGATTGGATGTCCCCAGATTTAATTTCAGTGATAATGAGAACTAACATATGTTCTTAACAGAGATTGCAATATTGTAGTCTAAGGGCGTAAAAATCTGTTAACAATACAATAACAGCAAAGATTCCAATGTTGATTCTTTTGAACACCAAAACAAACAAATTGTAAATTCTTGACCAGAATTTTTCCATAATGTCTTGGTTATTGGATATCTCTAAAAGCCAAAAATTCTTGGAAGTCCTTACGACAGACCACTTATGTAATACACCTTCATGAAGAGCTAGGTTGGAATTGAACTCATTAGAAGCAACTAGTGGATTGGATGGTCAGATTCGCTGATGTGGTTGATGAACACCTCAATTGCATAGACCAATGCCCATTCAGTTCATCATGGTGTTGTCCGATACAAACTTGATAATTAACAGACCTCTGTTACATAGTATGGATATTGCTTGGTGCAGCATTAACATGATTAAGCAACAAACAAACAAATTCTGTACTGCACAATACTGCAACATTTTGCAATGCCATTTTTCAGCAATATATTTGTGACCAGGATATTTCATCCCACTGAATTAATTATATTTTCGAATATTTGAGATCAAGTCTGATACTATTTTCCGTATTAAGGAGGCACATGGAAATGATTACACTAGAGGCAAAGTAGCAGTAAATATTTGCCATGTCAGTGAGTTTTGGAAATCAACTGGCGGTTTAAACAAATGTGGCCTAAGTGATTATCTTAGGTTTTCATTCTCCAGTCTACTTGACAGCCTTTCCATAGATACCTGGAGTGCTAGTCTTGAACATGTGAATATCAAAATGTGTCAGGTCAACTTTTGAGAAACCAGCTTGATGGATGTCATTCCAAGACTCCCTGTTAATGTTGCAACCATCCACCATCTTCTTCCAAATTGGGTTGATCAAGTTCTGGATCCTCCTCTTGAACCTACCCTTCTTTGATGCCACATGTTCCACAAAATAGAAGATTCCATTCTGTAATTACAGACAGATCAATGGTTATGCAATGCCATTTCACGATGTAATTTCGGTATGTTCTGACACCATTGTCGAGCATGTCACATCAGTTGCTTGAAAACAGTGTTACAACATCCACCAAAAGATTGCTCATAATTGGAATAAAGAAATGGTGCATGCTTATATCTAAAGTCTTGCTTTCTCTCAAAGAATTTGATATTTATTCTCAAGGTGTAATCATATTAGATTAAGCCATACAAATGAAAGCCCTGTCACGTTTTTTCTGCATATATTTTGAACATTTTCAACTGATTTTTCAAACAGTAACATGGATGTGTGTGGCTTTGTGACAGTGACACAGAGTGTAGATAGGTGCCAAATTAGTATCATGAAAACCATGAGTAAGACTTTAATTACTAAATGGTATTACTTTTATTAATTGTTAATTAAAAACATATATCATATCTGAGTAAAACTTAAACGCAATATAAAAGTGAATCAGCTATGAATAAAATCTGGGTTAAGTAAACCCCTGTCCACCAAAGAAATTTGGCAGAAATTATTTCCCAATCTTGGCATCAGTTCAGCACTTACTGGTTTCAATATTCTTAGGACTTCACTTAAAACAGCCTTGACATCCCTCACAGTGCACAACACCAGAGTACAGACCACAGCATCACAACTGTTGTCTTCAACCTCGGGCATACTTTCGGCGAATCCCCACCACAAACTTCTTGATGCTCACGTTTGGATTCCGAAGGTGCACGTTCTCTTCTAAGTAAGTTTTGTTGTAAGGATTTGGATCCAAGCAAATTATTTCTGAGCCTGAAGGAAAGTTCTTGAAGTTCATGCCACTTCCTGAGCCGATTTCTAGCAGCTGTAAAGGACGGTTTGCTTTGCTTGCTTGTGATTTCAATTCAGAAAACACAACTGCTTTCTCATTTCGAATCCGCTTATGTGTCTTCTTTAAGAACCTATTCCCCATGTATGCTGTGAAACGCAAGCGAAATTGACGCAGTTTCTTTCTTGAAAGTGCAACGACAACCACGACAGTGACAACTGGCAGTAGATATTTCAGAAGAATACCTCTAGCAAAAATGTCTTCTAGCGCCATTTCAAAGCTTCCAAGGTTTACGTTGTTTTTTTCAGTAAAATAGAGACGACGACCGTTTTTTCACCTGTCTACCTGCTCAACATCATGTGTTTGAGAAGGGAGCTAACTCCCGAAGGCTTACGTTCCCGAGCACTCGGTTCATTTCTGAAACCGATGCAACTACATTGGTAAATTTCAGGTCGTAAAATCCGTTATCTTTGTCAGCACCAGAGTGATAGTGATAGGCCTTGGTATAAACAGAGACCATATATCGGTATATGGTCTCTGGTATAAACAAATCAAAATCACTTTGTGAAAAGGCCACAAAGTCTCAACGTGAAATAGGCCACATGAATTTGTACTTCACACGAAGTCTGTTTCTACAAACAAGAATATAAACACACAGAAATGAGATGTTCTATTAATTAGCAAGCTAATGGCGTACCTACTCCAATTTACGCTCGGGCATAATGTAAGTCACTTCAGTGATTTTGAACAGAGACCATATAATTATATGGTCTCTGTTTTGAACAACTAAGTTAATTTAATCTACTTAACTAAAACATAAGTTGAAACCGATATCGTTAAATTCAACAGTGTCCTTAATTGGACTTTGTCATTCTCCACTCACGCGTGAACGCGCGATGACTAGTTTTAACATATTGGGACCAGATTATATTACATAATTGCGACCCAAATACAAAATCCTAAAACGGTGCGTGCATATTTAGATGAAAGCGCCACATGAGTTTAGTCGCACAGAAAATTCTGGAAGAACATGGCGGCTGAGCTGTTTAGGTAGATTGGATACATGTACACACCGCTGTTGTCAGTTTTGTTGTCACTTATGAATTTGGCAATGCAGCTATTTATGCAGGAGTAATAAATGTTTATGCTTTCTTTTTTGCAGCAAGGCAAACGAAGAGTTCGTCAGTGAGAATTATCAGCGCGCAATCGAGGTAAACAAACCTTGTGACTCGTGTGGGCATGTACTGGATGTTTTTAAGTCATGTTTTTATTTAGTGAACTGTTGAAAGAATGGTGTGTCTTGTGACATGCACATTTGGTGAAATTTGACCGAGCCCGTGGAATTTTATGAATCGATATTTTTCGACACGGTTATTGGTATCCTTTATCGTCTACATGACAGCAGAGACCATATAATTATATGGTCTCTGATGACAGATGATTGTCACTGAACATATTCAGCAGTTAAAACTGAAAATGAAACAATCTCCTTCCACATACTGAAAGTAGTCCATTGCCTCATCGTTTCCCAAAAAAGAATAGACTCTACTGTCAGCTTTAAACACAAAATACCTTGGTTTCTCCTATTCGATGACCTAACAAGGTATTGTCAGCTGTCATGAGTGAAAAAGAATATCATCATACTAAATCATAAATTAACTGAACAAGTGCACTAAAGTGCATACTTTGTCAGGTGGTAACAGTATTTAAAACGGATGCTACTGGCTAGCGACCAGTTATCGCAGCATACCAGTTATCGTCAACACATGGGTGTAGTGCTTGCACAGACAGCTTGACTTGTACTTCCGTAGTACTTCACACATTGACACATCACACAAGCAATAGGCTACGAGAGTTAAAATCAAGGTGTCTGTGCTAGCGCTACAGCCAGGTGTTGGCCATAACTGGTACTCAGCGATAACTGGTTGCTAGCCAGTAGTGAAATCAGTCAATATTTTTGCAAATACATACAACGCCACCAATATTTGACAACCACATAATTCACATACAAACAGTCAAGTAATGTGTATTGTATTCAACAAGATGTTTTTAGTCGATAGACGAAAGTTCAATCTCCCCACAACATGAAAGGACTACAACCAATCCGATGCAGTAAATAGTAGCTGCAACATTTGTACAAAGGTTGTACCTGTTTTTATCCTCTCTCAGAGTAGCAGTTTCATGGTAGTGGGTGAACAGAAATTCACATGACACCAAATTATTATTACTGTAGTGTAGAATTTCAGGTGGACCCAATGCCCACACACTGGTTTTGTGCACTTGGCCCATTGAACAAAAGTAACACTTGTGCAATTTCCTAAACTTGCCACAAACACCAGTGTCATTGTGAGAGAACAATGCATAAAGAGAATGCTCTAATATGGCCCATTCTTGCCCCCAACGGCTGTTCCGTCTCCGCTCCTCCATGCCTGGTGCACTGTCATCACCTGTTTTATTTGGTTGCCTTTTCTTCTGTTCTTTATTGCTTTTATGTCAGATGAGTTTTTCGATGCCATTTTCAGTAATGGCCTTTCCTCTGACAGGTTTGCTGACCTTTTTCAAACTTTGACTGAACAGTTTCTTATACTACACCCCTTCTCTTACAAAGAATCTCACAGGTTTGTGTCACATCAGCTGTACCTCAGTTACACTCTAGCATATTCTAATTTTCTGGGCTTCTGAACATGAATCTCAAGGGAACATGCGAGGCGACTGAACACAAACCTCAAGGGAACATGCGAGGTCACCGCAAACTGAGGGCATGGTCATATCTTTGTGACCTAAATGAAATGATGAACACAGTTTCTCAGAATCTGAACCTACTCTCTGTGCCTTGGTTCAAACTGCAAACTTTTGGAAGGAAATCCTTTGCCTGCTCTGCCCTTCTACTCTGGAACTCTCTCCCTATCACCATTAAATCAGCAGTTGACTTTAATTCCTTGGAACGACTTCTCAAGACCCATCTGTTTTCACTGCGTTATGACTAGCTACTATATATGTATATTATCCACACACTTTGTTAGCGCTTTGAGCATGGGCCTTGTGCATGGAAAAGGTGCATGATAAGTTCACATTTATTATTATTATTATTAAGTGAGCCTTTCAAGCATCCATATTTTTCTTTCCAGCGACATTGATGGAGAATGTTGAGAAATTCCAACATGTTGATATGTCTATAACAATGTAGGAAACGTAAAAACAGTGTTAACTTGTTGTTGGTGAGCCCCATGTGTACCCTGTACAAGACCCTTACACAAGATACAGAGAAGATGTGTACAGTGTGTTGAAATTTACTGTTAAGTCTTCACTAGGCTCATCAACCCAATCTACACAAAACCCATATAACAATGAAATCTGAGTAAATTTACAGATATTTACTAGGTCCACTTGCATGTTTGGTGAAATGATGACTTGTATCACTTCATTAATTCAGTTTGTTATTTGTGGTGACTAGAATGGATAACATCTATTTACGAATATTTTTTATGAGTGACATTTAAATGAAACAGGTGTTATTCATCAAAGCGAGATATGCAAAACCGAATATATACAGGCCATGCATATATCTTGTGTCAGTTTGCCAAGGACCCTTACAGTCCTGTTATAAGGCTATATAAACTGGGTCTGGAACAGGTTACCTGAGTACCCAGGTTGGATGAATACTTTTCACCACCCAGGTCCTGAAAAATCTAAGCTTAGTTTCATTTTGTTATTGTATTTGGTCTGAAGGAAAAAGGACCCGTGAAGATCCGGGGTAGAATAGGTCTTCAGCAACCCATGTGCTTGCCATGAAAAGGCGACTATCTTGTCGTAAGAGGCGACTAACGGGATCGGGTGGTCAATTTCGCTGACTTGGTTGACACATGTCATCGGTTCCCAATTGCGCAGATCGATGCTCATGCTGTTGATCACTGGATTGTCTGGTCCAGACTCGATTATTTACAGACCGCCGCCATATAGCTGGAATATTGCTGAGTGCGGCGTAAAACTAAACTCACTCACTCACTCACTGAAGGAAAAAGTAAGCTTTTTGTCACTTTTTACTCGAAATTAATCAGCTTGCATTAAAAAAGTCCATTCCATTCCAAAGTGTGAACTATGTAGAATATGCCATCTGTTTTTATATGATTTTTGTACACATCACATTTTCAAAAGAAATTCATTTTCTAGAACATATATTGATTGTCATCCAAACAGTCTAAATATGTCTTTCAAATTTGTTCATGAAATAGAAGTGTACCCTGCCAAAAGTTGAATAAAAGATGAATGAGTCGTGTTGATGTTTGCCTTTAGTATCTGGTCATGTTGGTATAGCTGTCTCTGTATCTCTTCAGCTCTATTCTGAAGCCATCCAGGCAGAAGGGGAGAGAGATGAGTTCTACGTGAACAGAGCCCAGGCTTATCTTAAGCTTGAGAAGTACACAGGTGAGATGGGTTTACCATGGTCCTGATTTGTTGAACTCATGTCCATGGTGTAATATTGTCAAAATTCTGCTGTATATCTTATCCCTGTGACTTGTATGGCTCCTACAATTCACTCGCGTATTCTATGAATCGACCCGTATCCCTTCATGAATTCCAATCATCATTCTAGAATCAAATATTCATGCATGTTTTTTAAAAAGAATGTTTTTACTTGAATTTGGTATTATTTATCAAAGTGAAATATGTAAAATGGAATATATCCCAAAACAAGCAGGATGGTAGTCAATGTAATTTGACATTAATGTGGTCACTGGTGATTGTCGTGATAAATTTACACTGTCTAAATGGTCAAAAACCATCCGTGAATGAATTTTGTTATTGTTTCACTGAATATATTGAATAGTACATCAACTGCTGATTTGTTATTGTATTCTTTACTCAATATTTGTATTTGTTGCCCAATATTCCTGATATGTGTCATATTGATTCATTGTACTGTAGCTCTAGCGACTTGAGCCATCAGTTTCATATGTAAACAATCTCATTAAAAACAGATGTTGTACTGTCATCATAGTGATCTCATTAAAAACAGATGTTGTATTGTTATACGATCCTAATCTCATTAAAATCAGATCTATTGCTCTAATTAAACGCCAAACTCAGAAAGAACACCATGGGAACAACAGCTCAAAAAGACAATGCACATAATATGTCTACAAAATATACTCCTCACAACAAATTAAGCAACAAGTATTTTCAGTGTAATATCTTTATCACTCGCATAGCGATTTTTGCCGACACGTTACTGAAAGGTAAATATTCAAAGAATACATAACCTTTAGTGACTGTCAAATTGATTTAGCTGATAACATTGACAACATCACCCGAACACAACCACCCTCAGAATCAACATGCAAAATGTGTGGCATGGATGTGCTCCACTTTTTACACACTCTGATCGGCGGCGTAAACCCACCTGTGATCATTCCCCTGGCACAACAAGCGGGTCCTGACTTCCTGTTTATGGATGATAATGCCTGGCCATGGATGATAATGCCTGAGAAGAGTTTTTAATGATGTTGTTTAGATCAACAACATCACACATATGGACTGGGCTGCAAGGTCACTTGATCTTAATCCCATTGAACATGCTTAGGGCATTATTGGAAGTTGTGTTTACGGTCTCCATGTTCACCCCCAGACTCAGCAGGCGTTACAGAGAGAATGGCAAATCATTCCACAACAGCAACTTTAAAGGCTCATGTGGTCAATGCAAAGACGTGTAGAAGCTTGCATTTGTGCTCGTGGTGGTCATACGCGTTGCTGAACACTGTGTCACTGTCCCAAACTGACTTGAACCTTAATGTTAACATTTTGCTCCATCAATGCAGCACATTTTGCACGACTGTTTCACGGGTACATGCTTTTGATGATTTCTAAGTCTATTATTGCTCAATTCCATTTCATATCATTTTGTTAATCGTGTGTATATATGTTTCACCTTTCTATTGCATCATTCCATGATTTGCAATTTCAATAAATGAAAATGTAATGAGACTAAAAATTTGTGTTGCTTAACTTTTGTGAGGAGTATATATGCTGCCTGTTATTTCCATTTGGATGCTGTTGTGTCAAAGTTGAAGGAACCTTTTTAAATATTTAAAGTTATCTGAAGTTCACCTCAACTGCAAAATGATGACTAAATAAGGGTTATGCTTTTACCAAGATTTTACTTCTTGACTATAGTAGGTTGGGCACTTCAAGGCACACAAAGTTTCACACAAGGGTGTTCGACCATACTGTGTTTCAAGACACCAAAATCTTAGATCTATCTAATCTATGCACTGAGGTTTTAAGCCTGCTGATTGGTTGATTTGATCATGTCACATGATTGAAGGAGGATTTGTCAGGTCTACACTTATATCGTATCAGAACAGGATAACTGGTTTTGATGATGAAGCTGAAGTACGACGTTTGTCTTGAACAGGAACACTTATTAAGAAGTTGTCTATCCATACAAAGAGTTCCTCCTCATCATACCAGCTTCTAAATGCCACTTAAAGTAGTTAAACATTTCTCTTGTAGTGTTTGTTAGATAGATGCATTTGGAGCCTGGTTTCCTGGCAGGTGTAGGAAATTAGGTTTAATGATCATCTTCAACTTTGATTTTCAGAGGCGTATAATGACTGCAGCAAGGCATGTACGATTAGGCCGCAGAATGTAAAAGCACATTTCCGGAAAGGGTATGTACTCTTATTTATCAGAAGAAATAAATTGGTTGACACATGTCATCGGTTCCCAATGGCGCAGATTGATGCTCATGCTGTTGATCACTGGATTGTCTGGTCCAGACTTGATTATTTACAGACCGCCGCCATATAGCTGGAATATTGCTGAGTGCAGCTTAACCTAACCTAAACTCACTCACTCACTAGATTGACTGGTATCCCATAGCTTCTACCAATTGCTGACTAAGGCATTGAACAACATTTACTGTTTCCAGAAGGATTTGTTATGTTTTAATACTGAATAATATTGGAGTTGTATGACAGCAGCCTGTGGTGAATAATTGAGTCAGGGCCAGACGATGCTGTGATTGATAATATCAGCAACAACCCATGGTGCCATGTGTGATGACACACCATGAACCAAGCAACAGAACCTGTATACCTGAGTCACTATCCAGGTGATTGGATGAATGACACTATACAGCCTGAGATGGGAGAAGCAGTTTCCGAGAATGCTGGTAATGGGTGGAGCTGGACCCAAGTGTAAAGTCAAATTCACTCTGTCAGAGATTCTAAAATGCTTCGGTGAAAGATCAAAGGTGCCGACAGTACTTCATCAGACGATAATGTGCACATTTTGCATTACGTCACAATGTATTGGCATCACTGCGCCATTCTAGTCTGCCCCCTTGTAATCAAACCATTTTGCATTACGTCACAATGTAAGAGACGTCACGATGCATGTCAGTTGTCATCACCTCATACGGCCTCCTACAGTAAACTACTCCGTTGCATCTCGTTTCTTGGTTTGCAGTTGCTTCACGGAGCTAACATCACTGGTGGAAACATTACGTTTATGTTTTATGACAGTTAAAATGTCTCAATTCGGGGGGGTGGGGAGTGGTGGGCAGACACATCAATAGAACAGCGAGGCAGTTAGCCCTGTGCGAGGATTCTTAATTTAGGTCACCGACACCGTATTTGTTTTCTGCCTTAAATTAATCGTAATTATCCTTAGAAAGTATTAAATTTGGCATATTAGAAAAGAAATACAGTTCGCTCTACCACCATGTATAGTTTAATAAAGCACACTTTCGCCCTGAACTATTATAACGTTAAGGCACTTGGACGCAAGCATCCTAGTACTTTAACTATAATAGTTCAGGGCGAAAGTGTGCTTTATTACACTATACATGGTGGTAGAGCGAACAGTATTTCTTAAATATGTAATGAAACCAACTGACTTTATTTGCACCTTGTATACATTATGACATCTGTGACTGGGAATGGATGGCTGATGAGGGTCATTGTGTCATTACAGTGTGGATCAGTGCCTTTCATCAGTGTTAAAGGTCACATGCAACCAAAAAATCAAACATAATTAAAACACAATTATCACTTCTTCATGACATATAATATGCATTGCTGATTATGAAAAAACAAATAAACAAAATTATAAGCGTATAATCGCAAATCAAAAGTGCAATATTTTGTACTTGGGTTTACCTCCCTCGAAACGAAGCAGCCGGGATACCGAACCCAGTCAGAGCGGGTGGGTGTGCACTCAAGTGTAACCGCTGGTTCATTTGCAGATGCCGCTCACTGTGTGTGTATATATAGAGATGTTGGGTTTTGTAAATACATGCTAATTTTTTGTGTATAACATTTTGCAATCAACAGACATCATAACATGTCATGTGTTCAAGTATCACACCTGCCTGTCTGTGTAATTACATAATGTGACAGAGACCGAACTCGGGCCATAAATCAATGCGTTTTGTTTGTGGTGTATAGCCTGATTGTGTTAAGTTCGAATTGCATGTGGTCAGTGATTGCAGTTGTGTATTGAATATTGTCATCAGCAGACAGGCAGGCAGACACACAGGTGTCAATAAAACAAGACATTGAGTTTTGTCTGTGACAACGACATATCTATATCACAGTTAGAAATTCTGTCAACGCTAAATAGTGACATTGCTTTTAAGTATCGAACTGAGAGAGTGTGGCGGTAAGAAGAACGTGTGGTGAAATAGACAAATGAAATTATATAAACAGTTAATTTACTGTCATAACATGTAAAAAGTTCGCGCCTGTTAGATATCAACAAAACATTAGAAAAATAGCTCACACCAAAACCTTCAACGAGTATTCACCCGACAACCCGCTTCCAAGCTGCGCGAACCTATTTACTTGCGCACATACTATGAGCGCAGCCCAACTGTTGAAACCTGTTTTCCCCAGAAAAGTCTGGGGAAAATTAGTGAAACGTTTGAACTCCGATTTCGCGCGTTTTTTTTCATCGCGTTATTTTTCAACTTTATAAGTTGAATTTGCATTTTTGACGATTTGTTTCGGTATGTCCATACCGAAAGGTATCAGAATCTGCAAAGTTGTGTTTTACGTTGCTTGTGACCTTTAAGTATGTCTAGTCTTGGGCCTAGATTTTCGAAGGTCTCTTAACGCTAAGATGGTCGTAAGTACCATACATTAACATTAAATTACAACTATCTTTGCTCTCAGAGATCTTGAAAATCTAGGCCCAGACTTATATCTACAGGTTGCTGATAGGATTGGGATGTGTGTGCAGCATATCATAACATTCACCCCATCTCTATGTAGATAGAACCTGTGAAGATCCGGCTTAGAATTGATCTTCAGTAACCCATGCTTCTTGCAAGAGGCAACAAACAGGATCGGGTGGTCAGATTCGCCGACTTAGTTGACACATGTCATGGTGTCTCAATTGAGTAGATCAATTCTCATGCTGATGATCGCTGGATTGTCTGGTCCAGACTAGAATATTTACAGACGACCTCCATACAGCTAGAATATTGCTCAGTGCAGCGTAAAACTAAACTCATTCACTATGTAGATAGGCATAACATCTGCATGGGTGGCTAAGATGTCTAATGTACCAAATCCTCCCTGCTTGTGAGTCATGTACTTAAACCATGTCAGGAGGTCAGCGTATCCTCTTATTCATTGGATTGAGTACATGATTCTGGGTGTGCCAGCATCATATCAATGCTCAACCCCAAGCTACATTCCTTTGGTTCCTCACACATGTAGCTGAATATTTGTGTGCTTTCTTTTCAGAATTGCACTCTTCCATCTTAAAGATTACAAAAATGCTATTGATGCTTTCCGAGAAGGACAGTCCCTAGATCGTAAGTACTTCTGCATGAAGAACAGTTGTAGAATTAGTCTGAAAGTCATTGCGTCCTTGTCATAAGTCCTCATGATACAGGATGAAAGTTTAGGAGACCTCTGTATTCAGTACTGTAACAGCACACCAGAGAGACACCCAGTCATCCTAATTTTGAAGCCTGCAGAACAGATGTCATCAATTCTTTAAAATTTGATTTTCATAAAACCAAAGGGGCTGTAATGAAGTAATTGTGTATCTTTGTTTACAGTGTTTCATGTCTGTGGCTAAGCTACTATATGTTATTTAGATCTTTAGTCATGGATTAATAACCCTGTGTGAAACGTATGTTGCTGTGATAGCAAAGATGTGAGAGGGGTCAGCCAGGTGCTGCTGTGCTGTTAGATATTCCATAGGGTGGTGTGGTAATCTAGCTTTGATTTTGAAGTTTGATTTGATTGTTTTTACTGTGCTTCATGGGCATTTCAACAAAAAGTTATTACAGTATTTGTTTACTGCCTGTCCAGACAAACTGAAATGGTTAAATGAAGGATTTGCTGCTATTGCACATGAAGTGATGTTTTTCTGCATTTTCCTGTCACTTTTCTGAATTGTTCTGAAAACTTTTCAGTAATTTCTATTCTTGTGGGTAATAAAGTATGATATTGGTGGTTTTACAGCAGCAGATTCTAACTATGCAAAGTGGCTTGAGAAGTGTGAAGCAGAGTTGCCTCCCTTGACTTCGTCCTCAACAGAAGAGGCATCCTTAGCTCCAACAAAGCCTACGACGGAGACTTCAACGCAGCCCACAGCGGAGCCTCCAACAAAGTCAACAGCAGAGCCAATCCAGATGCCATCAAAACCAAAAGCAAAGTATGTCAGCATTTATAGCCTCAACATTCAGTCCTTCACTGTTAATATGTCACAGGTTTTGCACACACTACATTCCATTAATGTCTGTGAACATCTCCTAAAGTACATTACTGACCTGTTTTTAGCCAGAATTTGGCTGTGTGTAGCTCATGAAAATCAGATCAGCCCTTGTCATTACTCAAACATTATGCAAACTTACCATAAGCTGACATTACAGCATCCACTAGATTCTCCAGTAGGCTATGGCTCATGCTGTGCATACGAGTCCAGAAACACTGGTGTGATATGTTATAACTCATCATCCATGTGTGTTGTCACCGGCAACTGTCTCGCATGGTTTCATTCACTGCTTCAAAATAATGACTTTTGTGCCAAATATTTTTGTGTGTTTGCAGGTGATGAAGGAATTATGTTTCCAGAACTCTGTGAAGTAATGACAATGTCAGTTCTTTTGCCGTAGGCAAATCTGTATCAACATATATTTTTTCTGATGCTTGACATCAGTGTTATTGTCAACATTGACAAACCATTAAATTGTGTAATTGAAATGTATCAAAGTTTCCAATTGGACACGTATTTAAATCCGACTTCATGAAGACTTTGTTCTTTAAACTCGTTTGGATCAGAAACAGTTTTGCGAGTGAGATCACCAGACAAAAGGTGGAACACTTCTTGTGAAATTTTAGAATTAGCCTTGAAACGTGCTTGGACAGCCAATTTGCCTCAAGTTACTATTAAGTCTATTGCGTACAAGTACGCTTGAAGTTTCATAAATACTCAATGTGATCTACATGCGTACACACAGAAATGTCAAATTGTAGCTTGAGTACCGGTGGATAGATAAAATAACTGAAGCATATTGAGAGGTTCTTGCAGTCTTCTTATCATTTCTCATATTACAGATCAAATGTAAATCACAAACACTAACATTTAAACCTTATTATATTTTTGAAATTAATGGAAAATGGTAAAATACCCAAGTTGAGTGTGAGTGAGGTGAGTACAATTTATTTGGTTACTCAAAGGAAAGTTAGGATACCCAATTGAGATGAAGACAAGCGAGTACATAACTCAATGACCAAAAAAGTTTTCTGTAGCTCTGTATTGACATGTGTCTGTTGGTGTAGTGATGTTGACGTGCGTCTGTTGGTGTAGTGAAGTGTGTCTGTTGGTGTAGTGACGTGTGTCTGTTGGTGTAGTGATGTTGACGTGTCTGTTGGTGTAGTGACTTGTTTCTGTTGGTGTAGTGATGTTGACATGTGTCTGTTGGTGTAGTGATGTTGACGTGTCTGTTGGTGTAGTGACGTGTCTGTTGGTGTAGTGACGTGTGTCTGTTGGTGTAGTGATGTTGACATGTGTCTGTTGGTGTAGTGATGTTGACGTGTCTGTTGGTGTAGTGATGTTGATGTGTCTGTTGGTGTAGTGACGTGTCTGTTGGTGAAGTGATGACGTGTCTGTTGGTGTAGTGATGTTGACGTGTCTGTTGGTGTCGTGATTTTGATTGTCTGTTACTGTAGTGATGTGTGTCTGTTGGTGTAGTGATGTTGACGTGTCTGTTGGTGTAATGATGTTGAAGTGTCTGTTGGTGTAGTGATGTTGACGTGTTTCTGTTGGTGTAGTGATGTGTGTCTGTTGGTGTAGTTTTGTTGACGTGTCTGTTGGTGTAGTGACGTGCGTCTGTTGGTGTAGTGACGTGTGTCTGTTGGTGTAGTGATGTTGACGTGTCTGTTGGTGTAGTGATGTTGACGTGTCTGTTGGTGTAGTGACATGTGTCTGTTGGTGTAGTGAAGTGTGTCTGTTGGTGTAGTGACGTGTGTCTGTTGGTGTATTGACATGTGTCTGTTGGTGTAGTGATATTGACGTGTTTGTTGGTGTTGTGACGCGTGTCTGTTGGTGGAGTGACGTGTGTCTGTTGGTGTAGTGATGTTGACGTGTCTGTTGGTGGAGTGACGTGTGTCTGTTGGTGGAGTGACGTGTGTCTGTTGGTGGAGTGACCTGTGTCTGTTGGTGAAGTGATGTTGACGTGTCTGTTGGTGGAGTGACGTGTGTCTGTTGGTGTAGTAGCGTGTGTCTGTTGATGTAATGAGTGATGATGTTGGCGTGTCTGTTGGTGTAGTGGCGTGTCTGTTGGTTGCAGTGGCGATGCGTCTGTTGGTGTGTAGTGACGGCGTGTGTCTGTTGATGTAGTGATGTTGGCGTGTCTGTTGGTGTAGTGAACGTCGTCTGTTGTTGGCAGTAGTGGCGGTGGCTGTCTGTTGATGTAGTGATGTTGACGTGTCTGTTGGTGGAGTGACCTGTGTCTGTTGGTGGAGTGACCTGTGTCTGTTGGTGTAGTGACGTCGTCTGTTGGTGTAGTGGCGTGTGTCTGTTGATGTAGTGATGTTGGCGATGTCTGTTGGTGTAGTGAAAGCGATGCGTCTGTTGGTGGAAGTGGCGTGTGTCTGTTGATGTAGTGATGCGCGATCGTCTGTCTGTTGGTGGAGTGACCTGTGTCTGTTGGTGGAGCGTGACCTGTGTCTGTTGGTTATAGTGACGCGTGCTGTCTGTTGTTGGTGTAGTGATGTTGGCGATGTCTGTTGGTGTAGTAGGAGGTTGGCGTGTCTGTTGGTGTAGTGGCGTGTGTGTCTGTTGGTGTAGTGATGTTGGCGTGTCTGTTGATGTAGTGATGTTGGGACGTGTCTGTTGGTGGAGTGACCTTTGACGTGTCTGTTGGTGTAGTGACCCGTGTCTGTTGGTGTAGTGATGTTGACGCGTTGTCTGTTGGTGTCTGCGTAGTGTATGATGGCGCGTCTCGTTGGTGTAGTGGCGTGTGTCTGTTGGTGTTTCAGACATGACTGGTACCAGACTGCTACCCATGTCATAGTTACTCTGCTGATTAAGAATGTGGCCAAAGAAGATTTCACTGCTGACATAAAAGAACACACTGTAAGTAACAACTGTCACCACGGTCACTTGTTGCTGTGTGTGAACCAGCCGACAAACACCAGGTGCAGGGAAGTGAGTGAAGCCAGAAGTGTACATTGAACAGGTGCTTGTAATTTCATCAGGCATGAACAGTTGTGGCTTTAGTCCCATGGCATCAGGAACTCTTTCAATCTATGTCCAACCTTTTGATTTGACTTTCCCTTGCTTGTCTCCAGCATCATGTTCCATTGATGCTGGTGTTTTTGGTTATCAATGACCTCAATGTGAAAACACTGATGGCTTCAGCCCTCAACTGCCTCAAACTCAAGGGGACCACTAATTTTTGTTCATGGTAATCGTAATTTGTTGTACACATTTAGGATGAGATGTGAAGCAAGTGTGCGGGACCCCAAAACACTTTGTTACATCTGTCAGTTTGTTATGGGAGTCTTGGTAATAAAGGGAGTTTACTGGATGTTTATTTTATGATCTTACGAAATTTGTTTTGAGTGGAAGTAAATGCGAAGTTAGGCTTTGGCAGTGTCGGACAAGTGGAGTAATGCTGTGAAATTAGCTGTGAAGAGTTGTGACCCCTTATCTGTGACAAGATGGATGTGTCGTGGCTGATTATCTTACAACATTATTTCAAATATTCCCAATATTTAATTGCCAACATGAGGCAGCCCAGTTTGTCCGGTCAACTACCCTGCCGGAATAGAGTTACATCCCTTTGGGTCGGCAGGAGCCAGTGATTGTAGGTTGAAATCCCAGATCGTCAGCATCACCTGCTTACTTTTTGCATTCCTTTCCACTCTTCAAAGCAGCATTAAGCCCAACTGACCATGACAATATTGATGTATGTTTGCACCCAGTACCTGATACCTCCCCTCTCACAGTAGGGATGTTGTGCATGTTGCAGGTTAGTGTTTACATCAAACAGGGCAGTGGGGGCCGGACTACAGCTTGAGCTGGACCTGGCACACCTAATCGCGTCCGAACAGTCCAACTACAAGGTCATGTCTACCAAGGTAACTAGCAGGTTTAGTCCACCTAGATTATCCACTGTGTCTGTTATTCTGCTACTGATACACTTCACCGTAACTTTACACAACTTAACACAGAATTTATTTCATGAGGTGAAAACAACAGCTAATCAAAATTCCATATTTCAACACTAATTTGACATAGTTCTTTATTCAAAATAGAACATGTACTATGGTGGGTTTTTCTTTACTACAAACATTAAATGTGTGGGCAACAACATACCGAGGGATGTAGTTCCACATAGCCATTGCTATTGCAGGTAGAGATCAAGTTGAAAAAGGGAGAAGGCATCCAGTGGACAAAGCTTGAAGGTGAAGGCCAGCCCCAGGAACCAAATGCATACATGGCAGGTCAGTGTTATTTTCATCTTCAGTCATCACGTTGCCATAGTTACGATATTCAGACTGATGTTAAGACACTCACACCTTCGATGAGTCAAGATGCAGGGTCGTCCCATTACTGTCCGTTGTCTAGGGCTCCAACGTCTCTATGCAGAGTTGTGCCTGAAACTTATGGCCAGTTCACCTGTATTCTTTCCCAATAAGTCGGCTCAGTGCCTGTATTCAGGGTTTTGCCAAAGTGGTAGACAGTGATGGCTAATGCTCTGATATAACTGAACTACTGGAAGTGGCATTAAACAAACCATTCAGATACTCGAGGTTATTCATTGTGAGTGTTCTCCTCCGCCCCAGCACCTGTGGCACCTGTGGCAGCACCAACATCTCAGTATCCGTCGCCAAACCCAACGTCACGTAACTGGGACCAGCTGGCTCTGGAGGTGACTTCGATGAGGAAGAGCGGACGAGAGAAGAAGGAGGCGATGCTGCTCTCAACTCCCTCTTCCAGCAGATCTACTCTGGACGGACAGACGACAGTCAAGCTTCATCTTAGCTATGCTGAAATCATTTGTGAGTCCACTGTTTTTGTTATTTTCAACAAAACTTGGGGTTAACATTGGATTGCCTTGATAATACATGCTTCTTTTCAGTACATGTGGTGCCGAGGTGTTTAGAAAACTATTCTTTACTGTGTGTTTGTTTTACAGGACAACTGGCAGCATAGTGTTATTAAGCGCGTTGCTGTTCCATTATGTTGAGTACACTGTTCTTTCTTTGTGTTTGTTTTCAGTATGAATCTGGTGGCACTGTCCTGAGTACCAACTGGACAGAAGTCGGTAAAGACAAAGTAGAAGTCAAGCCCCCAGATGGACTGGAATGGAAGAAATACTGAAATCACCTCTCACATCACTATTTCCAGCTCGAATTTGTGTCACTTCACCTTATCAAGTGGACAGTTGGAACTATGATTATTTTTGCATACATATTTTGAAAACACATTCAGACCTTGACGATTCAGATTCCTGTGACTTGCCGTCATTTCCAGTTGAACTGAGGATGAATGTAACAGCTCATTTGATATGATTTCCTGTTGAGAATAGGCCAGGTGATTCGGCTTCCAATGCATCACGACAGCGACTACGCTGTAAGGTAATCCTGTGACAAGGACTAAAGGACGGGGATGAAATAATGAAGATCTCTACATGCTGCAGTACGATTCATGATTCCCACCATCTTCAGTTATCTAGCTTATTATTATGAATGCCCTTGATCCATTCACTATCAGTTGAGTACCATATCTTTGGAAACTTATCATCTCCATCTCTGAAGTTAATCACTACTGAAATAGTCTCCCTCACAAGTAGCGTTGATTCGACGGAAACTTTTAGATTCATGTCATTCAAATGAGACTCAATACAAAGGTGTGATAGTGAATGGGACCTGGGATTATCATAATGAATTGGAGATATTCGACCCTGGGCCCTGTTTCACAAAACTATCATAGCTCTACGACTGTCGTAGGTCTATGTTACAGTATAAGAGTTACGACAGTCTGTAGTGCTACGAAAGCTTTGTGAAACGGGGCCCTTGATTTCTGAGGGTGGATTGTGTCAGTTACTCTTATCAAATAGGAATGCTTTTACTGTGTATGTGTGAGATATTGCACCTGCAAAACGTAAAGACTTCACTGAAGTCATCCTGCTGTTCCAATAAATTCTGTGTTATTATGTGGATGACTTATCATCTGTTCTATGTTGGTCACTTATGTCTCACTTAACACTGAGGTGTGTGTATGGCCTGTTTCTCTAAGTCATTGCTGCTGCTTTGGCTGCTGGTAATAAGGTCCCATACATGCATCTTCTGTGTTTGAATCCAAGGTTAGCTCTAATTATATTTCAGTTTCTGTGACATTTACTTCTGGTAGTCACTTGGTCAAGAATATTAAGAGAATGGAGATATTTTCCTCTGGATTATCAAGAACCTATTCTGTTTGGAGTTGGACCTTGCTCACCATGTTTTCCCAAGACGATATGTCTACAAGATAAGGGTTGTTGTCACAACAGTCACACTTCAAATCAAGCACAAACACATTGGTTCATGTAAAATGATTAATCTAGAAGAAAACTGTGTGTATGTCAAGCCACCATTTGCCCTTCTGGTGTAGCCTAACTGGGTAGGCATGAGAAACGGAAAGAAAGAACTTTAACAATCAACTTTCTAACATATAATTTGACATCTTTACTGGCAAAGTCCTCTTCTGTTGTTTGTTCACGTGAAGCGATAGGATGTCGTTTTCTTACCCTCTGAAAAAAAGTTTGATGAAAGTGTAACACATAGATAAGCCGACCACCTTCTACAGACTATTGTTTTTGGTCCTCAAATTTGGCTTTTACAATGTATACAGTAATATACGGTAACTCATCTTGGCAGTGTCTACGGTAACGGACAAAAGTTGTCCTACCCGGACTGCTTTAGAATCTGGACAAATGAATCGGTCCCAAGCCAGGCCGTAATAGACAGATTCCACTGTATGTTGTATTTGTGATTACACTTTCTTAGTAAAGTACAGATTCTAGTTCTTTTTATTCGGTTGAGTCCTATCCGGGATTCCACCCCCCTCTCTCAGCGTAAGGCACCTAATTGCCAGAACACACAAGTAGTGGTCTGACCTACTGAACAACCTTAGTTTCATTTCCAGTTGTCAGAGTGTTTGAAAAAGTATGTATACATGACTACCAGTTATCAGACTTCTGTCTGTAAAAACCTTTGTGGCGGAATGGGTTAGAATGTTAACTTGGCTGGTGATTAGGTATCTCTCACAGAGAGGGTATGTTCGTATCCCTGACAAGACACAACCCTAAAAAGGTACTAGAATCTGTACTTCACTGAGAAAGTGTGATCCCAAATATAACTCATGTTGCCATCAACCACTTTCTAAAAGGTTTTTTGTACTAATCAACTTTCCGTGCCAGTCGTAACAAGCTTACTTATATGTAAAAATGTTCTACTGCACCTCTTACTTAACATACATACTACAATGTGTGAAGCCCATTTCTGGCGTCCCCCGCCGTGATGTTGCTGGAATATTGCTAAAAGCAGCGTAAAACCAAACTCAGTCAGTCAGTCAGTCAGTCACATACATACATACATACATACACACACACACACACATCTTTTTTCATACATACAGATATTGCCGATGTCTCTCTCTCTCTCTCTCTCTCTCTCTCTCTCTCTCTCTCTCTCTCTCTCTCTCTCTCTCTCTCTCTCTCTCTCTCTCTCTCTCTCTCTCTCTCTCTCTCTCTCTCTCTCTCTCTCTCTCTCTCTCTCTCTCTCTCTCTCTCTCTCACACACACACACACACACACACACACACACACATACATGTACTTTTCATGTGTCCTTGTAACTTTCTGGTCCGGCCATTTTCCCAAAGTTGAAGTCTACAAGCATGGTGTATGCAAGTTCCCATTAACTAGGATCCGGCGGTGAGATTCGCTGACTTGGTTGAAACATGTCATAGTATCCCAATTGCGTAGATCAATGCTCATGGTGTTGATCACTGGATTGTCTGGTCCAGACTCAAATATTTTCAGACCACTGCCATATAGATGGAATATTGCCAAGTGCAGTGTTAAACCAACCAACCAACCCATCATTCACTGGATTATATTTTACAGATTCAAGTTATTGACCAGTGTTGTTTTTTATTTTAGATGGAAATAAATATTTTAGATTTAAAAACTTTCTTAACTTTACAATGCACAGATTGAGGCTTTTGCTCTTGGCTGAGACTGAACAACCTGCAACATATGCAAGAGTGAGCTTAACTTCCTGGCTCTGTGGGCGGTGGGGTAGCCTAGTCTTTAAAGTGTTAAGCTCGTCATGCGAAGACCGGGTTCGGTTCCCCACATGGGTACAATGTGTGAAGCCCATTTCTGGTGTCCCCCACCGTGATATTGCTGGAATACTGCTAAAAGCGGCGTAAAACCATACTCACTCACTCACTCCTAGCTCTGTACAGGGCAACATCCTCCCTCAACAGAAATTAACACTTACAGGAGAAGTTGCTGCGTTTTGCAACTGTTAAGTATATAATTGCATTCAGTAACATATATTAGCGTCAATTTTGATTGCTTCACAAGGTACAGTTTCAAGATTTTGTCTTAAATAATTATTCAGGGGTTCAGGAATTTTATGCTAGTGGTAGTTTATATCATGAAGTAAGAGTAGAAGGGAACAGATTAGCCAGGCGTGCATGTCCAAGTCTAACAAATAACTATGGCCTATCGCAGCGTTTCTATTCAAAACCAACACACTGATGTAAGCCCGAAACAAGGGGGATCGTAACTATATCGTCAGCTTGGCAGGTGTCCAGCGACGAGTTTGAGGTGTTAAGTTTCTTCGAACAAGTAACGTTATTTATACTTGCGGAATGTGGTATTATTGGGCTGTCCTCAGACACAATACAATATATACATGTGCGGGGACCGAGAGATCGTTTGATCAAGGACATGGATTAAAAAGCTTATAACCTCGAGGTATCATTACCTATATAAAGCTGACTTAAAAATATTTTCTCAATGTCCCCAAACTAACTTTCAGCTAACCTGCTCAGACACAAAGCACTCGACCAATAATCCTTAGCATAAATATCATGATCTTAATCGGGCCACGGATTTCACAGGCAACTCCGTAGACCCGACAACAGCTTGTGATCGCGGTTGCTGTTTGGTTACCGGTGCTCTAGGGTGTCGCCAAAGACACGCAATAGTTCTACATATTAGGCTGACGTCTGCGGACTGGATGTCTACCCGGAGAGCAGTGGTTCGACCCTCAGCCACTTCACCAAAAGATGCGGGAAGATGGTACTTATTACTTCCCTCCCGGTTTTAGGGGCTAAAACAAGGATTTGTCGGCTTGGAGTTTATTGTGTCTGGTTGGGGTATAACCTACCATATTGCTACGCTGATAGCCCGTGTGACAACATTGAATTAGAATACGGTTCAACATGGCGTAAACATATCACTCAATCACTCGTTCTTTCAATATTGCCAAACAGAGCTGATATAACTGTTTCCATGAATACTGATTGAAATAGGTTTATATCGATCAATAGCCCAAACATTCAACAGAGATTATACAATTATATCCTAACCTTTGTAACAATTCATTGATAGAGTTGTCATTCTAATTTGAGATACGTCTCGAAAAATACATTCTGTGTCTATTTAAGTTGTCCCTTTGGAAATCGGTCTTCCTCAGCCTCAGCCTTTGGGCGGTGGGTTAGCCTAGTGGTTAAAGCGTTCGCTCGTCATGCCGAAGACCCAGGTTCGATTCCCAATATGGGTACAATGTGTGAAGCCCATTTCTGGTGTCCCCGTCGTGATATTGCGGAGAGCGGCGAAAACTCAGTAACTCATCCTCAGTCAAAACAGAGCTTGTTCTAATGACCACATGTATAATGAGGTCGCGGGTTCGATCCCCGACCGCGTCATACCAAAAGACGTTAAAATATGGTACTTGTTGGTCCCTGCCTGGCGCTCGGCATTAATGGGTACAACAAGGACTGGTCGGCTCGGAGTCAGTATAATGTGTCTGAGTGGGGTATTCATGCTTTACTGCGGCATGGTATCTCAGTGGGCTAGCACTATAAAACCAGCTTCAGTCTGGGCTAGTACAAGCAGCCGCACCTACACATACACACGCATGCACGTCGTCATATGAGCGAAATATTCTCCAGCGCGACGGTAAACCCAATTTCACCTCACCTCCTGTATAATGATATAACTGATTCATTTTGCCGACAGCTGAACTTTTAATCAGTTGTGTCAATGGAACGATATCAGTGATCGTTTCAATCTCCCCACGAGGTTGACGTGTATCGTTTCGGAGTATGAGATATGATTTTAATGGACCTGTTTGTTCAAAACTAAATGCCGTTGAAACATAACTCCAGAAATCTCGTTATGATATAATCTTTGACCGCCTCGGACAGTATGCGTATGTGTCTAGTCTATAGCTACAAACTAGCTTTCATACTATATATAGACAGAACATGTGACACAATACGGCCCAGGCTTTTATCTGATTTCCATGGGGCAGGGCGG